TTTCTTCTCAACTTCTCCCACATCAGGCCACACACACAAAGATCATTCTGTGACCTGACACTCTTCCTTTCTTAAAAACTTCTAGTGAAGAGGAGAAAAAAAAAAGGATGTTATTTTAAACAGCCTCAAACTAAAGGTTTTAAGTCCATTAGGGTAGTTATATTCCTGCCCTTTTTACACTGAAAATGTTCTTACAGATTCCTGTAAATGTCTAGGTATGAAAACGGCTCTTTTTCAAAGATGTTCTTCTAGAAGACTAAAAATAATTCACTTCTGTTTGTATTTTCTTTGTGCAGAATTCAAGGTAACAATATGTATGTTTACTGCTCATCCTTGTCTTTATTGATCTACATTCCTTCATTTTGAATCTGCCTAAATATGTATTTATTGCTGATAAGAGTGGTAGTTGAGACACGTTACTCACCTCTTCACATGCCAGATACACTGGCGTCACAAGAAGGTTCCTCAGCCAACCTTGCCAATGCCCACTAACCCTCAGCAGCAGGCACCACTTCCAGATGCAAGAAGATACAAGAAGTCCCTCCCAGCAGACTGGCCTTTGAATGACAGGCTAAGTTTGCAATCCCAGGTCTAGGCCAGGTTTGTGACGGGTCCTTGGCCTCACAGAATCCGCGTTTGGAGCCTCTAAACACACACAGTGTATTTGATGTGTAGTTCTATCTATCTCCAAAGGCTCTGAATTACTGATTTCAGAGGGCTTTTCCTTTTCTGATTACATTTATGTTTATTAAAATAAAATTTCTGTTTGGGGGACTCCTCCTGCCACAATATTTTACGTTTTCATGCAACGTGTGATCCCCTGTCCAGCCACTGCTGATTTAATTTCTTTGTAGCTCCATAGGAACAGTAGGTTGAGGTTCACTTATCACTGAAGAGTCAGGCCACTGACACACCAGCTGCTTTTACACACTTCTGTGACCTCTGTTTGCTGAGCCAGAGGTGTATGTAAGGCATGCAGCTCTACCTGCTAGCTACTTGAAAATCGAACTACTGCAATGATACTCCCAAAGCAAACTTTACTTTGGTTTGGCATGAGGTACAAGGCAATTCAGCAATTGGCTCTCTCTGAAAGTTCTCCTTTCCTTGTTATTTTCTTCCAAGAATGTTGAAAAAAAAAAAAAAGGAAAAAAAGAACATTCTCCACTTTTAAATTGCTGTTCACTCACTGAAACGAATAGCCCTTATAGCAAATGTGAACACAGTTCAAAAAACACCAGTAAATTAAACATAATCAAGACAGCAGCATTCTCTCTGAAGGAACATATTATGACAGACATAATATCCCAGAACATCAACTTTCTTCTCTCACTAATTCTGTCTTAAGTCCTTCCGCAGGGTACACGTAAAGCTTCCAATTTAACTGCTGTGCACTGAGGTGGAAACTGAAACAAAGTTAAACAGGTTTTTTGATACTATTTCACTTATTACAGCATTCATATTAGTAACACATTTCACCATAAAGGCGAAATTTCCATAAAGTTAGAAAAATATTAGAATTACGGGGCTTTTTTTCACAAAAGCCTTTCTCTAAAGGTAATACACTGTCCCAAGAAAAAAAGCTTTGTAATATCAGAGCATGCAAATAGTTCAAAAATGTCAGTTATTTTCCACCCTGTATGCACTAAAAGGATGCAAATTACAATAGATGGGCCAAAAGTTTTCTCAGGAGGGACATGTATTGACACCTTTGGACAGTAACAGTAGCAGCAGCCTTTGAATTTTCACTTCAACTAATGCTTAGAAACGACACTGTCAGAAAGGAAACACCTACTGTGCGCCTTCACTTGCCTTCTGATCCCTTATTAGTTAACCCCGAAGTGCATATGTATACAGCCTTAATCCCCAAGTGAGTATCTGGACCAGGGGAAATCTGGAATTAATTGCGAAGTATTTTGGTTACTAATGCAGCTGTTACAAGTGTTTGATTTGGCAAGGGAACAGAAAAGGCACTGCATACCAATTTCGTGAGCCACTGTAAAAGCTGCGTGGAGGCCGTCATCTTCAATCACCGCACAGCTGCGCTCAGGAGAGCATATGGTCCCAACGTCTGCCATTCCCAGAGTATCACATGAATGATGCCCACATAAATCCTGCCCAGGAAAAGGGGGGGAAAAAAAAAAACGGCATTAAAATAAATTTTTACACCCATAGGTAACATCTGGTTAAAGGCACCAGCCCTTTGCAAACAGCAGAACCTGGGTAAAGACATTGTCTATTTAAGGATACCAATGCAGTTTAAAAGCATGATGAGCCAATCCCACCCCGGTAAAATCAGTGGGAGCATTTGCATTGGCTTCAACAGGATTTGGATATGTTCTGTAACTAATTATTATTTCTTTTTCTGCTTAAAATTGCACTGAGGTAGGTACTCAAAATATGCTGTAGAAGCATTTCTTCATTGGCAATACAAATAGAATACCCTCTCTATTTACAGAAGACAAACAAAGGCACAGAGAGAATGCTTCAGATTCCTGATCAGTCCTTGAACCAGAGATCACCTTTCTTCTCTAAAGGTAAGTCTTATACTCTCCCTTAAAAGAAATGAGATTGTTATATGTGAAACCTCATTCCACATCTGTCAGGTAACACAATGATTAATAGTGTATTACCCAATATACCAGGTATTTAAGTAAGTTTCAGAGGTTGCTTAAAGAGTCAGTGATGTGACAGAGTCCAAAGCTCCTTCATTCCCAGTCTTACTGGTGCATCAACTCAACCACGTCTCCTACACATAGATATGGGGTGTCCCCAAAAACCATGCAGGTAGCACTAGGTTTTTTTCTTCCATTCGGGATGATGACAATGCTAATGATAATGATGGAAGGAACTTTGGTCACAAATCGTGTTTGAATCATCAGCAGTCACTTTTCTGTGCTTCTGTTGAAGCAGAGGGAAGAATACTAGTCTGAATATACATACATAATGCTTTTTTTGGATGAGAAGGAAAAGTAGGCACCATGCTATTTAGAACACTTCAACATTTCATTGTGCTTGAATGAAATTGTAATTTTCAAGGCATTATAGTATTATCAAATGTTATTATCAAAATGATCAAAGAGTACCTTTTTTCCCCTTCATTTTTAAGACTATCTCCTTCCCTTCACATCTCTTTTTATAAGGACTTCCTTTGATGAAGCCTTTCATAATTAATCCATCTGAATAATAGACACCTTGTATGAGGTTTGAATTGTATGAACAATGTTCACTGATTAGACAGGTTAGGCAAACTTGAAAATGCACAGGATTCAAAACCAATTAAATAAAAGAAAACACACCAAGTTCACAGATATTGTGACAGAGCATCTCCTTACAAAAAAAAAAAGTTGGGGTTTTTTCTCCCAAGAGAGAGGAAACAAAGAAATTTTTCAAGCTAAAAATACACAGCAATATTATATATATGAAGGAAGAATTTCAGGCTCAGTTCTGGCTTCCAGGTGTCTGGGAACTCTTTTCAGTAAGTGCATTCTTGGTGCTACTTAATACCAAGATTTAAATGCTGCAGTACCAATGAACAAAACAGCCTGACAAAAAGAAAGGGGATACAGTTCAAAAGTATTTCAATTTCCAAAATACAGGTGTAATCCATGGTTTAAGAAAAATTTCCATTCTGCAGCAATGCAGATAATATGCACACAGTTTTCTCTCTAACCCCCCCCCACTCCCCTCCTCGGAATCCAATTAGCTCCCCAGACTTTGCCTCCGGCTCTGCATGGGTTATGGGAAAGTATGGGATACCCATTTTTAAGTACTTTAAAAGAAAATTCAAAATTTTTTCACTTGTATTCAGGGAAATAAACTTTGTATCATTTTCAACAGCTCTCAACTAATGTTGGAGGAGGCCCCAAGTGAGATCATGTTTTTATAATGTCAAATATCTGGGGCATATTCAACAAAAAAAGACACAATCCTTAAACTCCTATTACTTTTGCTTGGGTTCATATCCATTAAGCCCTTTATGTATCACTTATGAATCTGGCCCTTTTGGTATAAGGGTACATTTTAGACAAACTACATGTAGATGTAACAACAAGTGGTTTACCTACAGAAACAAAACTGAGAAAAAATGCACGTGCACAGTACCAATAATTATACCTTTCCATGGGGATATAATCTGTCTAAATAAATGAGTGTAAGCTGCATAAGAAGTAAGATAACTTTCTATTGCTCTCATGCAATGCTAAAGGCTGGGGAAAAGTGGCTGGAAAGTAGCCCACTGGAAAAGGATCTGAGGGTACTAGTTGACCGTGGCTGAATATTAGCCAGTGTGTGCCCAGGTGGCCAAGATCCTGGCCTGTATCAGCAACAGTGTGACCAGCAGGACTAGAAAAGTGATTCTTCCCCTGTACTCAGCACTGGTGAGGTCACATCTCGAGTGCTGTGTCCAGTTCTGGGCTCCTCACTACAAGAAAGACACTGAGGGGCTGGAGTGTGCCCAGAAAAGGACAATGGAGCTGGGGAAGGGTCTGGAGCACAAGTCTGATGAGGAGCAGCTGAGGGACCTAGGGATTATCCAGAAGAAAAGGAGTTTCAGGGGAGACCTTATTGCTCTCTTCAACTACCTGACAGGAGGTTTGTAGCCAGGTCAGCCAGAGGTCAGCCTCCTCTCCTAGGCAACCAGCAACTGGACAGGAGAAACCAGCCTCAAGATGCACTAGGGTGGGTTTAGGTTGAACATTGGGAAGTAATTCTTCACAGAAAGGGTGATTAGATATTGGAATGGGCTGCATTGAAAGGTGCTGGAGTCACCCTCCCTGGAGGTGTTTAAGGTCAGAGGTTGGACTTGATGACCTCGGAGGTGTTTTCCAACCTAACTGATTCTGTGATTCTGTGATAGTGCAATTTCACCTGAATCCACACAAGCCTGAAATTCTGAAACTGAAATTCTTACACATGTACCAAAAAGCACATAAATCAGACAGAAAGCAGCTTTCTGTAGGAGGTCTAGACTACTCTCAGGTTGACAGTGCCAATAACAGAATAAAATTCATTAATTCAGGCTTTGTCTCTGCATGCGGATTCTATGTCATCTAGTCTTTTGTTGTATTTGGGTGTCCTTATTACATAGATACTTACATCAGTACTGCTGCCAATGTGAGCACAATTGTATCAGCACACAGATGTCTCATGCCAGCGCATGATTTGCTTCCATTTGCATACAAGCAGCAGCTATGCCAATGATATAGCTGGGAATTTATACCAGCAGACACAACCAGACCTCACAATGATTCACCGGATTTGATGACACAAGTATAATTAGAAGAATATAATCTTTTAAGCAGGCAATCTCATAAACTTCCTTAGAGTTACTTCTGATGGGATGTGGGGAACATGGAAAATTTCGACAGGGATGTTAACCATAAGCAGCCCTTCTGACTCATGGCTGGTTAGTAATGTCACCATCAACATTTCAAAAGCTATGCACAGGATTGCGTTACCATCTTCCTTAGACATTAAGGCTGTATTAGAGGTTGGTCCTAGGAAATCCCACAGCAAGGAATAAATGGTTCTGAAAACTGTAAAATTACCTAGCTCCTCCAATTCCCCACGGACAGCTGGGAAACAGCTGTCCTCAGATGGTGTGGGACCAACAATTACCATAAAGGAGAAGAGAAGAGAGTGACTGCACTGGGGTCAGGATGTGGTGGACAGTGATGGAAAAGCTCTGCTGCCTCCAGCCAGCCCCATTTCCACATCCACACTGCTGCCCTGGCACTCTTGAGTAAGGCCGTGTGGGGGAGTCCTGCAGCCACCTACCAAATCCCATCTGGGAAGTGGCAGAGGTGGCTTGTAAAGGATTTTGGAAACAAGGACAGGAAATATTTTCTGGCATTAGCTTCTTTGTATATGAAGCTGTTTCTGGGACGTCTATGGGTTGCTAGAGCAGGGCATGCAATGGCAAGGCTTTGAACAGAGAGCATGTGTTGAGCCTCCTGGTTTTCCTTGCCAACTTCAGTCCTCAGTGACTGCCTGAGGATGCTTTTTCTCAGCTAATGCTGACATTGTCAAGAATCATTTGGACTCAGCTCTGTTATGCTGTCAACTCATTGTCTCATTCATTTTTCACTTCTCTAGCCTCTGCATGATTTGAACTTTAATATATTTCTATTCATAGCATCACATAGTATACACTACAAACAAAACTGTAGCCTATCAAGTGGCATCTCTGAGACAAATATTCTGAAAAGTTTGTTATTGGGTCAACTCACTGATACCAGCTGCCCAACAGTATGACTTCAAGCGATATTGCTGAAAATCATGCCTGTTTACACTTCCACTGATTTAAATCTTGATGGCAAAATTTCTCATGACTTAAAACTCCTATAGCTGCACTGGCTATGGATTATTTGTTACCACCATCGTTATATTTTTTTTTATTTTCCTGGGCAGTCTTGGAAACCAATCTACGACTTTTAAGAAGTAACATTTCTGGGAGTCCAGTAAAAGGTTTTATTCCCTTGAAAATATTTTAATTTTTTTGCTAAAAACAGGCCCCAATGTAATCATGCGAACTAAAAAATCTGTAAGGGTCACCTCAGCTTTTCATACTGCAGCTAAAGCACTAGGAAAAAGGGGACTCAGGATACTTAAGTTTCCAGTGATTATTTCACTCTGGTGTTTAGCTTCTATTAGAAAGTTAATCAGTTACTCAGATCTGTATACTCAAATGCCTTGAAACAGTGGCAGAAGCTTCAAAAAATGAGTGTTTCTTGATATTTCTAAAGAAGGAATGCAGCCTGGCCCTTGATCTGCATTACAGTAGTTTCAAAACAAGAATGACTAGGAAATGCATTTGTTACACAGGAGGCAATAGATGGCAAGACTTAAGCTTTGGCAAAGGAACGACTAAGGAAATCTAAGCTGTACATTGTAAAACTAGTAGTTAATTAGACAGCTTATTAGAAGCAAAGATTTCTTGGCATTCAAAATACATCAAGAGCAGCTGGCTATCTGCAGTGTATACATGGCATTGTGGTGAAAGAAGATAACTGTCACTGCATCTTGCTGGAGCAGTGAATTTATTTTACCTGAACTTTGTTTAGTAGGCTTAAAACAAACAAACAAACAAAAACTGTTTAGGGAAAGCTGGTCT